CCATATTTCAAAAAGATGAAACGGATGCATATCTTGTTTTTTTCTTATTACTATAAGGTAATATAAAGAAATCTTGATGTTGAAAAAATCATTTTTTTGTATTCATGATTTTAACATAGATTTATATTGACAAAGGTTTTCATTTGTTTCAATAGACAATTATTCTATTAAAATATGCCTAGAAAAAGATATTCTATCATGCCATTTTTTTATCCTTTGAAATTATAACAAAAAAAAAATGAGTTGATTTTGATCATTTATTTATTCATCATTTTTTTTTATAAATGTAACTTCATGATAGAAGAGTATGAAACGTTGTCTTCATAATAGATCCTATATTTATTGAAACTATTATTGATTTAAAGAATTTGAATGCAAAATGACTATTATGTCAGACTAATGACATATTCTAATAGTTAATATTTGAATTTAGATTCATACAAAATAATGAATTTCTATATTGACAAGAAATAAACAGATATTTACTATGTGAAGGACATTGACAACCACACATCGAAAGTTATATAGCAAAAAATTTCAATTCATTTCTTTTGATGTAATTAGCTGGAACCATTTTTCTTCCTTTTCTTCTCTTGCGCACTTTTTTCTCCTTCTGTTACTTAACAAATAATATACATTATGGAGAGAAGAATATTTGAATTGATATTAAATGTCAACATATTGTTTTTCGTTCAAGTAATTGTTATAATTAGTCTACATTTAGGAATCAATATTTGTTGTAAAATGATTCAATACAATGTTTTTATATTCACATCCTATTAAAAAGAACAGTTTCGTTAGTCGATTTATAAAAAAATTTCATATATGTCAAATGCCGCTAATGCAAAATTTCAGTACATTTTCTTTCTCTTTTATTAGTATATAGTTTAATAGAGCTTGACGAGTTGGTTCTGAGTATAGAATGTTTATTTCGATGCGACCACAATTTGACTGAGAAGAAAAACCATGAAAACTCCAATGACTGAAAATGTCGAATTGGCAATTATGAATTCGCTTTCATTTTATAGAAATCGTGAAATTTCAATTACGTTATCTTTTCAAATTTGATGGAAACATTTTATTATAACTAAACATAAAAAACTAAGTAGAAAAGTGTTACTTGATTAGGTTGAGAGATAATAAACTGTCTAGTTTTTTGTAACAAGACAGAAGCAAGTGTTTTGTTTCATTCGAATATCGTTAGATCGCGAACTACAGAAGCATCTATTTAGTTTCTTTAGATTTTGTTTTATTGTTGAGAAGATTGAATTTTTTTTCCATTTGATGACAAAGTTTCAGAAAAATAAACCTGAAGAGGACCACAGATGTATTTTTCATCGGAAATTTTTTTTATTAAAACATATATGATTCGATGCAGTTTTTGACTCCAGTTCTGAATATGTTATCTATTTCGCTTTTTAACTAGATCATGACAATTCAAATAACTAAATACAAATACATGTTTCAAAGCTTTTTAGTTAATGTTGACATCAAATGGAAAAAAAATTCAATCTTCTCAACAATAAAACAAAATCTAAAGAAACTAAATAGATGCTTCTGTAGCTCGCGATCTAACGATATTCGAATGAAACAAAACACTTGCTTCTATCTCTTGTTATAACAAACTAGATAGCTTATTACCTCTAAACCTAACCAAAGAATTTTTTTCTACTTAGTTTTTTATGTTGAATTAGCGTTAAAATGTTTTCATTAAATTTGAAAAGATAACGTAATTGAAATTTCACGATTTCTGTAAAAAAAATGAAACGAGTTCCTACTTGACAATTCTACACTTTCAGCCATTCGAATTTTTTATTCAGTTAAACAATGGTCGAATCGAAATGAAAACTCTATATACGTGATCAGCTCGTCAATTCCTATCAAACCATATATAAATGAAAGAGGAAAAAAATTCATTAGAATTTTGCATTAGCAGCACCTTATTATTTATAATTTCATTATGAAACAAAATAATTTTCTCTTTATAAATTAAGGTCCTTATACATATCAACGACAAGGTCATCCTTCAAATCCAAGTGGACAGGAAGCTAAACCTATTGGCTTAATTCATACATTTTTTCGACCAAGTGATGATCTGCAAACATTTCCTTATCTTATACCATCACAATTTTTTGCTCATTATACATTAAAACTTTTATTAGAACTTATAAAAAAATTAGAATGGACAAATGATTTTAATGATGATATATTAAAATTAATTTCTAATTTACATGATATTTTATTTGATGATAAAATAACAAACAATGAAGAAACATTAATTACATTTAAACATTCGAAATATGATTTAATTTATTCATATGAAATAGATGGATTTGGTAATAGAAATTTAATGGATGATTCAAATATTCCATCACTTCTTTCATTACCATATTTATGTCCTGATGATATTCCAATTAAACATTCAATTTATCAAAATACACGAAAATTTATACTTAGTTCAGATAATCCATGGTTTTTTAAAGGAAATCTACTTGAAGGTAAATATTCTTAATTTAACTATAATGATTTATTCTATTCTTTTCTTGAAAAGGTATTGGTGGACCACATTGTGGAAAATCAATGGTATGGCCACTTGCAATTATTATGCGTGGTTTAACAACAACTGATGATGATGAAATTCGATTTTGTTTAGATATGTTACAAAAGTCTCATGGAAATACAGGATTTATGCATGAATCAATAAATGTCAACAGTCCAATGCATTATACACGTTCTTGGTTTGCTTGGGCAAATAGTTTATTTGGTGAATTTATTTGGAAATTATATCGAGAAAAACCTTATCTATTAAATTGAAGCTAGTAATTTTCACTAGCAATTATATATAGTTGACGACAAAAGTTTCGCCCATCTTGAAATGAATTTTTTATATTATTTTTGACGTATTAAAATAGAATGCAATACATATATATAGAGAGAGAAGTTCGAGACATTTACGCAACACATAGTAGTTTTAAAAGTGTTTGTTTCTTCTTTGAGAAAAGTAAAAATATGTGAATACATCCATTTTTGGATAACTTGTTCAGAGATGAGATGGATTATATGATATGAGACCAAAATTTCGAACTGACGGATTTCTAGTGAATGAATTACAATTCGAAATTTCGTACTGAGTGTTCTTGATATTGCCCGTTGATGGAGCATAGTCAAAGCTCTCTCCTCTGAATGGTCAAAAGTTATAAACTCGATCTCACTTCACATGAGCTATCTCATCTCTCAACAGGTCATCCAAAAATGGATATATTCACATATTTTTACTTTGCTAAAAGCTATTTTCATACGTCAAAAATAATATAAAAAAATTATTTCAAGATGGGCGAAACTTGTCGTCGACTAATATGATATGCACATGATACATAATGTTTAATAAATCATAGATGAAGAACAAGTTATTAATACAACAAACAAAAAAAAACCTATTTTGCTCTTTTGAATTATATTATAAGCCAAGTGTATGTTTTTTTTACACGAAAAATAGAATCAACTACATATTACAGTATATTTTTTTTAATTATTTTGCAATTTTTTTTCTTTCTGTAACATAGATGATCTGTAAATTGTTAATTATTCAGCATAAAAAAACTCTTCATAATAAATTTTAATTGCTCATATTTGCATCTGACTAATATGATAGATTTAATTGATTTCAAAGCAGTATGTGAGAATTTTAATAGAAAAATTCATTGCAAAACATCGCCTAAAGATTTTCATCAACTGCTGTATATAACAAATGAAACCAAAAAACCATACGGTTTGATTTGCATGACAAGGTCTTGATCATTATCTTTTTAATACTTTTTCTGATTTTCTTTTTTTATTCGATTGATTTATTATGTATGTTTTGCATAAACAGCATAATAAAACAGGCATATATCGAAAAACTAAAAACCAGTATTTTGACATGAAATTTTACTCATAAATAAGTCAAATGATCCGTAGAATATCTTAAAAGTTTTGTTCCTTTGTCAAGATATTGAATTTCCAAAAAACAAATTGTCGAAATTCTGTTTTTTGTTTTTTCGGCATATATCTAAAACTAGGTTAAAAATTCAGTAAAACAAGCATAACTTGGTTTCAAAGGTCCATGAAGACAAACCCTTTTAGACTTCAAACAATGAGCATCAGTTTGGATGGTTCTCTCGTAAACCAATAGGTCATGAGTATTTTGTAATAACTAAATTTTCTATTGGAGCTATGACTAGATATTCAACACTCCAACCCTAACTCAATGAAAAATAAATGTCTTATTTTATATTTGGTTAGTCACATTCCAAATTTCCTTTACACATCGTAAGAATCCGTAATTTTTTTGTCATTATGGAGTTTTTTTTTTCTTGAAACCTTGAAATTAATATCTTAGAATTATTTCTATGACTGTATTCACATTTGTTTGATAATTCTAATAATTAAAAGATTTTGTGTTTATATTCATTACTTATTATTGATCATCTATGAATCATCAGTATATATATATGAATCAATGTTGAATTATAACCATATATCTAATAGGAATAAAGTTCGTTCACATGATTCATAGAGCAAATAACTTGTTATCGTGTCCTATTTATACAATTGTTATTATGTGAAGTTGAGAGAAAAACAAAACATGGCTTTTATGTTATATGTTGAATTTGATGCTAGCTCAGAATTAATAGCTACAAAGATGCTTGAAAATTTAGCACGTATGGCTAATATTGTACATCGTGATCATTCCGACGTATATACATATGTATTTCGATATGCACATGAATCAAAAACTAAACTTATTTTTACTGAGTTATATGCTAATGAACAAGTATTTCTTGAACATTCAAATGATGCCGAATTTCGTAAACTTTATCAACGAACTTTTAATGGTACAACAGGTAAAAGTGAAAAAGAATTATGTATTAGACAAGATATTAATAATCCATTATTACCAATAACTGCAAATATACTTGATAATTATTTACATGTTACCTATGTTTCTCTTCAGCAAGGTTTTTTATATCGAAATATAACTGATAAAATGAATGGATGTCTTCTTATTGTATGTAAAGGTTGTGGTGAACATGTTTATGAACAATTAAATATACTTGTTAATTGTGTTACATGTGTAACATTTGAAGAATCAGATAGAAGTAGACAATTAATTGCTATTATTGCGCAAATTCCTAACGAAAAAATACCAATTACAAATGATAAACCATCAATTGATACAATGGAATTAGTTTGTTCACATGAAGAAATTATTCAAAAATTCAAAGATATAATTAATGATCATTTTCAAATTCAATCTTTACAAGTTCAAACAAATTTTAGTGGTTATATTTATCATAAATCTCTATAATAGAAATGATTTTAATTTGACAAAAAAATTGTTACGTAAATTTTTCTTGAATATTAATTAAAATAAAACTATATTTTAAACATTCTCTTCAATTTTCATTTGATGAAATCCACACCAAGTTGGACATTCATTATTACCATTCTTTTTTCTTTCATCATCGAAATTTGATGATCGACACTAGAAATAAAAAAAAAGAAAACGTATATAGAAAATATTATTTAAATAATTCAATTTGTATATTTACAACTTACCCAAAGAATAAGATTAAGTCGTCGTCCACTAGTTATAGGTAACGCACGATGTCGATGATTACCAAGATGAAGACATGCCGTACCAACTTGATGTTCAAGATAAATCTCTTCATCATGTTTTGGTGGAGTTGTGCTAGTATGAGATGAACATCGTATTCCACCAAAATACAATTGACCACCTGTAAATTCTTCTCCGAGACATAGATTTAATGTTACAGCTGCATCATCAACATGAAAATCAAGTTTTTTATCTCTATATATATATATATAGAAAGCAAAATAAGATTAAAAACTATGAAAGAAATTTTCTTACTTATCCATAGCATATTCAACAATAAAACCATGATGAGAATCAAGAGGAAGTGTGATATGTTTATAGATAAGTCGAGTTAATGGCTGTACAATATTTGTAACAATATCAGTTAAACATTTTTCAAATCCAAAATGATCAAGAATAACACCATATTTATTCATTGAATTAGGACGATACAATTTTAATCCATTATCAATACACCATTGTTCAAAATATGCTATTTCATTAATTAATAATTGACAAAATGTTGTAGGTAGAAAAGAAAAAGTATATGCACCTGATGATTCTATCTATTACAAAAGATATACATATTATTGCTTATAGATATATGAAAGGAAATATACAGACTTGTTTGACAATATCAGAATCAATTGAATCACGATTAAGCATAGCTAAGAGATTTTCATTGATTGGCCATTGATTAAAATCATATAGTTCAGATGATTGAGGTTTAAAATGTTGCTGAATAGTAGATAAATATTTTTCCATCAAACGTTGTTCTTCACGTGAATGTTCTCGATGTTGTCGCCAACTAATTAATACATGTTGAATATAAGCATCACGTCGTTCATCAGACCAGTCCAAAGGTAGATGAGATGTGACTTCTTTCAAGAATGATTGTTCCTCTATGTCAACTTCAGTTTTTGACATATTTTATCTTGATAGTTTCGTTTTGATGAAAAGAACAATGAATTAGGAAATATCTTACTTCACATCTTACGCAAGGAAGTAAATAATGAGATTGCATATGTTTTGTCAACTATATTTTGGCAGATGAAAAGAGGTCGCTGAAAGACTGTTATTGTAGCTTCAATAGTAATTATCATTAAAGAAGAAAAACGTTAAATATGATTTATAGCATACATAAGATGAATAATCAATCACGAAATATTTAGAAGACTGTGCCATATTTATGTCAATTTCTATTGAACGAAAAACCACTGATGATTATGACATTATCTTATGTGGTAATCTTAATTTTTCCAACTAGCGAAGAGATTGCATAGTATGAATAATGAATGAAAAAATATTATACTTCAATGTGAGCATATGTACATTTGCTAAGAAGATTAAAATAACAGCGAAATATATCACTGTATATTTTACAACTGCTTATCTTTTACACATCAGAAGCAAAGGAAGAATATGTATTTGAGTTTTACAAATTCGATGTTAGTCTATTAGTATGTTCGAAGAAACATCCGTCTGTCTGTTAGTATTCACAAATCTAAATTGTAATTTATACTCCATTGCATTATATTTCAAATTTCAAAAACTATGTTTTGTAATGTAAGAAGCTTTTATATTTTTCCTCATATATGAATCTGTAACTTCTTTGTATATAGATTACATAAAAGAGGAAAAGTTAGTACAATCTGATCAAGCGAATAAGAATGAGTCAAAACTGCAATGCTTTGGAAATAATATGTTAAATGACAAGAATACATGTTCTTCAGATCGAAATAATTTGATTCCGTTTACTCGTAATGATATTAGTAGTATTCGTAAAATAAAAAACATTTTTATATTAAGCTTTGAGAAAATTCCAGTTTTGATTTCTATCTTATCGAAACAAAATCAATCCTAATATTATTCGTATGTTTTATGAGAATTATTTTTAATTCTTGCTAGAACGATATTAAAAGTCTTTTCGGTTACAGCAACTGAAGGTCGATCTGAGTGGAGTATATTTTCAGTGCTGAAATTTCTCTGCTATAATTAATGAAACAAACTGATTAGTGTAAGACCGGAAGATATTAATTCTCTTCATCCTCATGTCAAACGAGCATGACTTGCGCTTTGGAAAGTAAGCCAATCATTAATTGAAAGTGTTCCTGTGAGAATTCGAAATTCATCTGAAAAATTTGAGATCAGTAGTCTTAAAAACAATCTAAAAATACAA